ACGACGACGACGACGACGACACACACACACACACACACACACACACACACACACACACACACACACACACACACACACACACACACACACACACACACACACACACACACACACACACACGCTGAAGAAGGTGTACCGATGAAGTTGAGGTTTGGAAGCAGCTCGCCTCCAAGCGGAACCTTGTCGTAGAACTTGATCTGGGCATCCGTGACAGGGCCCATGATGTACGTGGGGCAAGGGACTGTAATGCAAAAGGCGTGCACGGGTGTGTGTGTGTGTGTGTGTGTGTGTGTGTGTGTGTGTGTGTGTGTGTGTGTGTGTGTGTGTGTGTGTGTGTGCACGGGCTCTGCGGGAAGCCCTCTCTCGATCGCACTGCTGCCACACATCACACCTGCCACGGATCGGTCCTGAAGGGACTTCCACAGGTCATCCACTGAGCCGTCCTCGCCAAAGAAGGAGCCAACGCAGAACAGCGCCTGCGAACCACACGCATTCAAGCATGTGCAAGAATGAGAACGATGCACGTGTGAGGTCAAGCTGGCAGCGTGCTCGCAGCCACCAAGGCTTGCAAGCACACACACGTGCTCTGTGTCTCCCTGTCTCGGTGTCTGTGTCTGTTTCCGTCTCTGCGTGTGTCTCACGCCTAGCAACCCCATATGCGCCCACATGCGCCCACATGCGCCCACATGCGCCCACATGCGCCCACATGCGCTCACATGTGCCCACTTGCGCCCTCATACACAGCACCACCAGCACGCACATCGAAGTTGCCGTTCTTGGCAAGGATGACGCGGATCTTCTTGAAGAGCTGCGTGAAGCGACCGTTCACGTCGCCCACCACCAGTCTGCAGGCCAACCCACGATCCCACCACACGCATGAAAAGGTGAACACAAGCCATGCATGATGCAGCGCACGCACTCAGACAGCATCAACTCTGTCACTGAAAGCATCCCCAACTCACACGCGCATATCCGTCATCGTGGCCGTTGAATTTCAGTGATGTATTTTGATGGCGGCGATGGAGAGATGAATGTCTGACACGTTGGTTCTGTGCTTTGCAGGCATGCATGTTGCTTCGTTTATTGGTCGACTTGCTGACTTGGGTTGAGATGACAGGCTACACCTGTCTCTTGTGGACTCATATTGTTGTTGATACAGGAACAAGGACATGAAAGCACTCAAACAAAGCTGAGCTTTGAAGAGGGCAGAGGGGTGTAGTTGGCTGGATCACGCCAAGCAACACGTGGTTGCTGCCGCAGCGGTGACATGCTGTATTGGTGCCACACAACCCGACTTCTCATGCGAGCGCCGTGATGATCGTGCGCCGTACGCCGTGAGAGCTGCTGCTGCTTCCTCTCTTTCCTCCTCCTCCTCCTCTTCATCTTCATCTTCACGTCATTACAGGTTACCTCTCGTCCTTCCCGGCTCTCTTGCCCTCGTGCATGCTGATCAAGCAAACCAGCGGACCCATCACCGCAGGCTCGCACATGCCGGCCACAATCACTGTCATCTTCGCCGCTGTCGCCATTGCCACTCACCCGAATCAAGGGGCAGCTGGGGATGTTGCTGTCCATGTGTCTGACGCGACCGTTCTCTCGCCGCCTTGTGATCCCATCCCTGGCTCTCCCAACGCGTCGTTGTCGTGCAAGCGAGTGCTGACCTCGAAGCGATGCGACGACACTCGTGCCATTTGTGCGCTGTGTGGCCTCAACGCCTCTTGTCCTCCCTGCACTGCGGCCCGCGCCATCACTCACTCGCTTCCCTCTGCCACCAAATTCATCATCATCATCATCATCATCATCATCATCATCATCATCATCATCATCATCATCATCATCATCATCATCATCATCATCATCATCATCATCATCATCATCATCATCATCATCATCATCATGCAGCAGCGTGTGTGCCGCCATGCTGTCTCGCAGCCGGCGGCAGAGCGCTGTGCGTGACGCAATATTCAGCATGGAGAAGAGCCTGCAGGCAAAGTCGTACTTGCGCCCGCGCGTGCAAATCCACGGCCAGATGACGTCCCCATACAGCGAGTGCACGGCCAGCATGTCGCCACCACGGTACATGCTGGGCAGGATGTGCGTAAGTGTCTGCAGCTGCGTCCACGGCACGCGGCTGAAGTCGTGGTGCTCCACATGCAGCAGCTCGTTGAGGGTGAGCCAGTTCCAGATTGCCGAGCCATAGTAGCTCACCGTGGGCTGTGCCGGGGAGTGGAACACGGCCGTGTTGTTGAGTGCGCCTGTCACTACGTCCTCCATCTCTTCAGGGCACAGCGGTGCTGCGCGTGGCGGCGGTGGGTTGAGGCACGTGTGTTGAAGCAGCCAGAAGGTGATGCACGGATGACACAGCAGTCCCATTGAGAACGCGGACGACAACGCGATGTACACACCCGGTTTCGCTGCGGTGCCCAGCAGCCCAAACCCCGCACGCACACTCGATGCTGTCAGAGTTGTGGTCGCAGACATGAGGAAGGCGTTGATTGCGACCTTTAGGCTGAAATCCGCGGAGGCAAGACACACCTGGTGAACATGAGTGAGTGAGTGAGTGAGTAAGTGAGTAAGTGAGTGAGTGAGGGAGTGAGTGAATGTGTGTGTGTGAGTGAGTGTGTGTGTGCGAGTGAGGGAGGGAGTGAGTAAGTGCGTGTGCGTTGCGTGAGGAACTCTGGCCGCAATCAGACAACCAGCAGCTCGTGTTGCCCATTCTCCATCCGACGCGATACTCCACTCCGCCGCTGTTCACCTCAAGCGTGTTTGCGCCAGGGGCGGTGATGACGGAAGTGATCAGACTCGCAAAGTACACGATGGGGATGGACACCGATGCAATGGACGCCCACAGCACAGCTCCAGCCGGATTGTCCAGCGCCTGTGCGCAGTGGTAAGATCGTGGGGAGTTGGCAGGTGAAAGCGAGACAGCCAACTAAGCAGCTTGCGCGCGCGCGCGCGTGTGTGTGTGTATGAAAGTCATTTTCCGTGCGGCTGAATGATTTGAGCACACAAAGTCCGGGCATGCACTGCATTTCACCACCTTGATGGGTACGCGCTCCCAGACCCAAAACAGCGCATCGCCATCCGCATCGTTTTGCGTCCCAGCAAACTTTGGCGAGGACCGGAGACAACAACAGCCCCGCGCCCTTGGTGAGAAAGAGGGCAGATCTCAGCACCACACGCGTTCAAAGGCTACCATGTCCCAACATCACATGCTAACACACACACACACACACACACACATGCACATCCATTCACACGCACACATCCTCACACGCATGCACGCACGCACACGCCTGTCCTTCAGCACTCCCTGCGAACAAGGGCTTACAGCGTGATGATGGTGGTGCCCGTGGCCAAAGTAGTACGAGTACCAAGGGCCCCACGTCAGGGCGGAGCAACAGAGACCGACCACGTGGGACACTGGCTTGCTTGTCCAGAATCGCTGCCACAGATATCGCGCACGCGACCACGCGCCAACCAGCGATCCGGGTGGTGCTGCTTCAGGGCAGTGATGGCCCATTTCGTGACACAGCGCCTGGAGGTCGTAAGCGATGAGCGCGCCTCCAGTTGCTGATACGCCAATCAACGCCGCCCACGACCAGCGCTTGCTGCGGTACGCCAGCCACAGCTGTGCGCCTGCCAATCCCATCGCCAGCAGCGTCGTGCGACTGTCCGCCCCTGCAAGCAGCGCAAACGTGAGCGAGTTTGTGTACGTGAGTTAGTGAGTGAGTGAGTGAGTGAGTGAGTGAGTGTGAGTGAGTGAGTGGGTTAGTGAGTGAGTGAGTGTGTATGTATGTGTGTGTGTGTTGGCGTGGACACCTGTGTGAGCACACGCTTCAGAGCAAGCAGCCGACCTGCCACAAAACTAAACACAACACACGAAACACAAGCACCAACACCGCTAACACCGCAAAAACCGACCCATGAGGGGTGCAATCTCGTGGTGAGCGATGTTGATGGCATGTCTTCGCCGGGCTGCATGCCACTGAAACGCCACAGGCTTGCCTCGACTCCACTCCCACCACGATCGGTCGGGGTCCAATTCCTCCGCCCCCGCCTCCTCCACCGCCTCCGCCTCCTCCTGCCTGCTCATCCTCTGTTGTTGTTGTGCTGTCATCATCGCGTCCTGTGCTGCCGAATATTGGTGTGTATCTTCACCATTTTTCAGGACTTTGAGAGCACACCTCCGCAGCACAACGTGCAACGTGCAGCAGCATGGTGGCGGATGTGTTTGCATTGGCAGTGGTGCGGGCCGGGCGATCCCTGGTGCACAGCGCCAGCGCACGATGGCAGCGTGTCGCGAGGGTGCCCATCGCACCTGTTCAACACGCATGCTTGATGTGCAGTAATAGCAGCAGCAGCAGCAGTATCCACGTATCTGCAGCTGACAGGAACCCTGCGCGCATCATGAATCACCGCGCCATGCACGTGGCCGCGTCCATGCACAACGGGGCTCGGAATGGCGGTACCGATATTAGTGGTAATGGCGATGGCGGCGGCAGTGTTGGTGGTCGCAAGGCTAGCGAGCGCCGCTCGCGTCCTTTCTACCGCACACCTGCAACAGCAAAGCCAGGGTTCTATGCCAAGAAGATGAAGAAGTGCCAGGATGTCGGCGACCATGTGGAGGTGTTCCGCATCTGGGAAGACATGCAGCGCAAGCAGGTGTGTGTGTGTGTGTGTGTGTGTGTGTGTGTGTGTGTGTGTGTGTGTGTGTGTGTGTGTGTGTGTGTGTGTGTGTGTGTGGAAAAAGTTTGTGCGGGTGGTGCGTTGACAGCATTGCTTGGGGTGACGTCTTTTTTTTTCTTTTTGTATTGTCTTTTCTCCACGATCCCACTCACCTGAGCTTCTGTCCTCCTCTCATGTTCGCAGATCCGGCCCGACCTGTCGGTGTACAACCACTTGTTGTCATCTTGCGCCAAGTTGGGGAGGGCAAAGACTGCCTTCACCCTCTTCAACGATCTGAAGAAGGATCAGCTCCTGGAGCCGGACGAGTTCACCTTCTCCTCCCTCTTCAAGTGCGTATGTGTGTGTGTGTGTGTGTGTGGTTGTGTGTGTGTGTGTGTGGTTGTGTGTGTGGCTGTATGTGTGTGGTTGTGTGTACATTATTTTCCATATCTGCACATGCGTATGCATCCATGGTTGGACCAGAGTGTACCTGAGGTTTTGTGCAGCTGTTGCAGTTGCTCTGCAATCTAACCTGCTGTCATGGCTGCCGCGCTTGCCCCCTAACCCACTCCCCTTCCTTTGCACCTCCCCCTGCTCTACATCGCCTTAACTACAGGTGCTATGCGCACTCGTCAACAGACCCAGAGCGCGCCAAGGCCGTCATCATGAGGCTGCGCGACGTAGGGCAACGGGATGGATGGATGGGGGAAGTAGATGTGAAGCACGGGGAGGAGGAGGAGCGTGTGCTTTGTGAGAGTGCGAATTGTGCAACTGTGTGTGGAGCCAGCTGTGCTGACACCTCATAGTGAGTGGCAGGTTCTCTTGCTTCAACTCACCACCGGCTATGCTCACTGTCATCTTCATTGCTTGCATGCACGAATGTTGTGGCAGGATGTGTATGAGATGGATATTCCCCGAAACGCATATCTGTACAATGCAATGATGAACGCCATGTTTGCACGCGACATGTACGACGCACTCTTTGAGGTATTCGTGTGTGTTGTGCGTGTGCGTGCGTGTGCGTGTGTTATGTGTGTGTGTGTGTGTGTGGGTGGGTGTGGGTGCGTTGTGTGTTGTGCACTTTTGTGGGGTAGGCTCGTTCATGTGTGTATTGTGTCTGTGCTCTTCTATGCATGGAGTTGCATGATCTTTTTTTCACTTGTGCAACTGTGCGTCCTCATTTCTGCTCCTGTTGCTTACACCATCGTGTCCACACACGAACACACCTGCACATGTGTTTGACTCAAGACGTTCACATTCATGTCTGAGGAAGTGGACAAAACATCTAATGCGGTTGACGTGGCAACAATCTCCCTCCTCGTCAAGGTCGGTTGCCCACACTCACTTGTGCATGTGTGCGTGCATGCATGTGTGCATACATGTGCACATGTGCATTGGGATGATTCAGGTGACGACTCACTGTGTGTGCACGATGGCTCTCATTGCGTCCACTGAACCTGCACCGCCTCCATTCAGGCCTGTCGGCACACGGATGATTTCGATCGATTGGGCAAAGTTTACGAGTGAGTTCCGCAGCACGGTTTCAAACGACACAGCACATGCAATCACGTCGATGTGCACAACGCGCGCACAGACACAACATGACACACGCAAACATCCACACACGACACACACACAAACATCCACACACGACACATTCCCTCACGCACTTATGAATGCTCTCCCTCGCGCCACTGGTTCATACCGTCCTGGGCGCTTCCGTTTCGTGCTGTTCAGACTTGCGACGCTGACGGGAGCCGTGGACGCGCGTGTGTGCCGGGATGTGATGATGACGCTCAAGCAGTGGGCTGTCAAGAACTACCTGCCTGCAAAGCGGAGGGGTGCGTGTGGTGTGGTCACATCCGTCACGCCATATATGATGTGTACTTTGACCAACATTCCTCTACGAATGCGCCACCATCACCATCACCATCATGTCCATCATTAACGTCATCAACGCCACCACCGACCACCACCATAACAATCACCATCAACACCCCATTCCTCCAGGCTCCAAGGGTGATCCGCTGAAAGTGCAGAAGCAGCGGGAGCTCCTGGGCCAGATTGGCGAAGCAACAACAGCGGTCAGTACAATCATGCGTGTTAACGTGCTTGCTACTTCTGTGTGCTTGGTGGTTTAGTGAGCTGATGTGGTTGACAGCATACTGACGCCCTCACACACACACACACACACACACACACGCACACACACACACACACACGCACACACACACACACACACACACACACACACACACACACACACACACGCATCCCACCGTTGTGATGGCTGCATCACTGCTGCAGACACTTGAGCTTGGGCTGACACATGAACTGGGCGGCGACCTCGTGTTCATGCGCGATGCGGTGTGTACTGGTGGTCGTGTCTATGGTGATGGTGGTCAGCTATGATGGTCTATGGTGATGACAGTGATGAAGGTGATGACGGGAGTGCTCAATGTGGGTCAATACAGCCATTGCCTCACCATAGCCGCACGTGGCGCTACAAACTCATTGAACCTCAACTACCGCGTGCACTCACATTTCTTATCGTTTTTTTCCTTCCCCTCCCCTCCCCTTCTCGCTTATCGTCCTTTAACCACAGGCGCATGCGCTGCTGCTGTCTGGTGGCCAGGGGGAACAGCTCCTCTCCCGTCTCCGCTCGCTCCTGTCATCGTCGTCACCGGACATTCGCACGCGTGTTCTTGCACACCTCCTCCGCCACACGAACGTCTCGTACCGCCACCAGCATCTCACCGAGCACCAGATCACCTCCCTCGTCACCCAATTTGGTGAGGCCGTGGATTTGTGTGTGTGTGTGTTGTGTGTTGTGTGTGTGTGTGTTGTGTGTTGTGTGTGTGCGTGATTGTGTGTTTGTGTGTGTGTGTGTGTGTGTGTGTGTGTGTGTGTGTGTGTGTGTGTGTGTGTGTGTGTGTGTGTGTTCGCTCGTGCCTTTCGCCTGCCCTCTTTTGCCTGTCATTTTTTCTCGATGTTCACAATGCTCCCACCTGTTGCGCTTATGTCCACCACGCTCGACCATTTGTTGCCCTCGCAGCTGCCGATGTCATCCCACCGCACACACGTATGTAACACCTTGTGTCTCCAAGCCCCAAATTTGATCACAACACCAACAGCAGCCTGCTCTGCATGAACACACAAACACACACACACACACACACCAGACAAACACTCAAACTCGCACGCTTGCACACACACTTGCACACACACTTGCACACACACTTGCACACACACACACACACACCAGACAAACACTCAAACGCACAGACTCGCACGCTTAGCTCATGCCTCACCTTCATTTGTGTTCTGCTTTGCTCTGCAGTTGCTGCCCTTGAAAGCTACGTTTCCACACCGCCTACCAGCCATCGCACGCGCCAGTTTTCAAACACATTCGACCGCGACCCTCACGGCGTGCTCGCCCTGCAGTTTACGGGCACAGATGCCGAAAAGCTGCGAAACCGCTTTCCCGTTTCGGCAGGTGACGCCCGCACCAACTTGCTCCTTCCACTGCTACGCGCGCCGGCCTACAGCGCGCTGGAGGCGAAGGCAGCGCTGCTGGGGCAAGAGGTGGGCGTGCGTGTGCAGGGAGAAGCAAGCAACCGCCACATGCAGGCAGTTCGATGCCAAATTGCGGACTGGCCCAAGGCAGGCGCGCACAGTGGCGATGGTGGCGAACGAGCACATAGTGACGCCAACACCAACAACGACGGTGCACCACCACTCGTATCAGCAACAACAACATCATCATCAGCAGCAGCAACATCATCAGCAGCAGCAACATCATCAGCACCACCACTCGTATCAGCAACAACATCAGCAACAACAACATCATCAGCAGCAGCAGTTGCAGCAGTAGCAGTCGAGGACGTTGAATCAGCCACGCCTCAAGCACCAACGCCAGCACAGGCACCACCAGCACCAACATCAGCACCATCAGCGTTGATACCGCAGGAAGGGTACATTGTGTTGTCGACGTCCCCCATGGTGCGACCGGGGTATGAGCACCACTTCCTGCGCAAGAAGCCGCCAGCACGCCGCGCACACCTCGCCATCAAGGGCAAACTCGTCTACAAGTGCACAAAGTACGCGCGCACACGCGTGTTGAACAGTATTTGGGTGTGTGCATGTGTGTATTTGTGCGCACACGTGTGTTGGGGTTGTTGCCCACCGTCGCTCGTGCGCGCACGACTTCACTAACACACGCGCATGCGCCCCTTGCAATTGTCATTTTGACGTTTTCGCAGTGATCGGGGACGCATCCAAGTGATTGCAAACGAGAACCTGATGCGACAGCACATCGCAAAGCACCGCTCGTCCCAGCAGCGTGAGGCCACTTTGCTTTGTTCGGTGTTACAGTGCTGGACGTTGTGCAGTGTTGAGCGTGTGCTCCTCACATCTACGCCCGCACACACGCACTCTCGTACACATATTTGTCGCACCTCAACACCCCCCCCCCCACCACACACACACACACACCTACCCTTCAGCCTCGACTGAGTTGACTGGCGATCAAGCATCGACATTGCAAGAACTGGGTACGAGGCATCCACCCTCTAATGTGTCAGCTCATGCATTCGCTGGCCTTGCGCTGCAGTGCCTTCCATGTTCTGTGTCGCGTGTTTCCAAATCCCCTCCCAAGCCACACGCATGTGCGCGAATGCTTCTACTCACATCACACCATCCACCATGCGTGCTGCGTGCTGCGTTGTCGGTCACGCTGCAGTTGCTGCGCTCCTCGCTGCCTACAAGTCCGGCTGGCAACTGCAGGCGATGCAAAATGTTATGGACAGCTTCAAGCCAGTGGTCGGTGCACACACACACTCTCTCTCATGCTGTGTGTATGTACATGCATATGTGTGTGTATTATGTGTGGGTGCGTATGTGTGTGTGTGGGTGCGGAGAGAGAGAGAGAGAGGAGAGAGAGAGAGAGAGAGAGAGAGAGAGAGAGAGAGAGAGAGAGAGAGAGAGAGAGAGAGAGAGAGAGAGAGAGAGAGAGAGAGAGAGAGAGAGAGACACACACACACACAGAGAAAACGTCGAGTTTTTGCGGTGCATGTAGCCGCAACATCAACCACGAACAACACGTTGACCATGCCCGCCCAACCCCACATCCCATCTTACCACGGCCTCCATCCATCCGTTTGTCGACCAGGTTTCGTCGTGGCGGCCGGAGACACTCGCCTTTGCGCTGGCGGCGATCTGTGAAGGCCAATTCTACAAGATGACCACGCCAAACGCGTTTTGCCAGCAGCTGGAGTGGTGGCTGCACCACTTCACATCAACTCAGGTGTGTGTATGTTTGTTTGTTTGTTTGTTTGTTTGTGTGTTTGTGCGTTTGTTTGCTTGTTTGTTTGTTTGTTTGTTTGTTTGTTTGTTTGTTTGTTTGTTTGTTTGTTTGTTTGTTTGTTTGTTTGTTTGTGTGTTTGTGTGTTTGTGTGTTTGTGTGTTTGTGCGTGCGTGTGTGTGACCGTGAAGTCGCCTCAAGACTGTGCCACTGCTGCTGCTGCCATGGTGCCGCATGTGAACGGTTCACAGGACCAGGAGTGCAGTGCGTTGGATTTGATCACCACGGTGATGGCCACGCGGCCAACGCTCATCGCAAACTCGCGACTGCCGGTGCGTTGATGCTTCAGCAATGATGATACAGCACCACTCATTTCCCAATCCGAACCACGCGTACACATCACATCGTTCTGTCAGGCGTGTGGTGTGAGTGAGTGAGTGTGTGTGTGTGTGTGTGTGTGCGTTGAGTTCGTTCGTCAGAGCACACGCTCACCCCGTACTTTGCTTCGCTCACGTGCATGTGCTGCGTGTCTGTTGAGCAGTCGCTGCTGTACGAGGCACTGACCCGAATGCAACCACCGGCTGCCGTTGATTTCGTGCACCTGTCTCACGTCTCGGCAGCTGAGCTTGGGTGAGCGCACAGCCATTGCCCTGTTTGTATTCTACACCCCCATCTGAGCTCATGTTTGCTGCTCGGCACACAGCTTCCCTCTGTTGCCACGCTCCCTCCAGCTCCTCAGCAACCCACACACACACACACACACACACACACACACACACACACACACACACACACACACACACATGCACATGCACATGCACATGCACATGCAGGGTTGAGGGCCAGATGATGGATGCGTCTGTGCGCGTTGCTCTTCCCGACAGCAACCACGTGGACATGAATTATCGCGTGCACATGCGTCTGCCATCACCACAGCAGCTGCGAAACCGCCTCGGCTGGCGGGATGCACATGTGCCCGTGCTGACAACAGACGCGCACGCCGCTGACGCCGACGACTTTGCGTTCTTCGCTCGCGTCACTCCAGTGCACAAGGACGGCAGCAGCCCTGCCATGGCCAGGAGCAGTGGCGTTGTCAACGAAGCTGCCAATGATGGTCGTGTTGGGACGGACAGCGACAATAGCACCACCGCAGCAGCCAGCGATCAAGGGCTGCCTGCGAATGTGGAGGCGCTATTGCGGGTGTACATCGTGTCGCTCGCGCTAACGTCCAAGCAGCCGCTGACGGCAGGCGACCCAAAGGCCAGGATTAGTCATGCATGAGACAAGTTGAGTTTGTTGATGTGTGTGTGTGGGGGGGGGGGAGTGGTTGTTATGGTGTGAATTTTGTTTGTCTGTTTGTCTGTTTGTCCGTCCGTGCGTGTTGTCATTGCGCACGAATGCAGGCTTGTGCTGAACATCGCAGTGCCGTGTCTTCTTCAGAGCTTTCATGTGATTCATCAGCTGGACGTGTATTCTTCATGTTTGTTGTGTACATAAAAGCACCCGTTGAATTAAACCCACCAAAGGCCAGTAAACAAGCAACAACCACTTTACGTTGCTTTCAAATCCACATGATCACAACCCACAAGTGTGTGTGTGTGTGTGTGTGTGTGTGTGTGTGTGTGTGTGTGTGTGTGTGTGTGTGTGTGTGTGTGTGTGTCCGTGACTGGTGTACTCCAACCGGCATTTGTGTCCAACGAGTGCTCACGTCAGTTCCAACACGCATCACATCTTGGGCCGCTTCGATGCTGGTGGGAACAAAGCATGAGAGAGGAAGAGACAACATGAGCTGAGTGTACACGCGTGAGCATGTGTGCAAGGGTGGGCAACGCGTGATCAGTGACCATGGGCGTTGTGCAACACAACGTGACACGCCAGCAGACAACATGAGGTGTCGCAAATGGGCATCAGTCTTGAACATTGTCGTCGTACCTGGTCCGCTGCCGATGGTGTCACTTGCACGACTGTTTCTTTCCATTTCGTCATCATCATCGTCAGCATCACCATCATCGTCATCACCACTCCCATCCATATCCGCCACCATATGCGCCTCACCATCTTCACCACTACCACCGCCATCCGCGTCGCCCACACCGTCACCACCACCATTACCGCTCTGCTGTTGTGCTGTCGTTGTCGCCGCCACGGCCTCCAGCTGGCTCAACATCTCGTCGTGTCGCCGGGATTCTTCCCTCATCTTCGTCTTCTCCTCGGCCGTCATCCGCCCTTCCCACTCGTAGCGCCAGTGCGGGTTGCTGTATGGCGAGCGCACGTCCGGTGTGGAACACACCCCTTGCACCTTGTCTGGCGGGTGGAACCAGTAGTTAAAGGCCATGTGGATGGGATGCGCTCTGTGTGCACCAACACCCACACCCAATGCCCGTTTGTCGCCACCACCACCGATTGTCGCCATTACTCGTGCTGCCGTTGTGTTTGCTGCTGGTGCTGATGAAGCCGTAGCTGTTCCTGCTGCGAATGATGCTGGTTGTGCAGCAGTGGCACGTGCAGCTGTGGTTGATTTGGATGTGGATGTTGCTGGTGCTGGTGTAGCAGTGTCAACATCACCCCTGGTCTCCTGCTGTCCCCGCACTGCCGTTGATGACGACGGTGCTGCGTGTGCTGGGTCCGTGCTCGTGCCGTTACCATCGCCACCAAAGAACGCCGACCGCTGCGCACGTGGGGGCGATGCCGGCGACATGATCTCGTCTGTTCCGCCAATGGATGTCACGTCGTGGAACCAGCCCGCAGGGAGGTACAGCATTTCGCCAGGTCGCACCCGCACGACCAGCTCGTTGTCGGCAGGGAAATCCGGAAATTTGGTCCGCTCCTCCTCTGTTAGGGGGAGGACCACCTGCAACAATTCGCAGAACGGGTCACGCAAGCAGCACAACGTACATGAGGGGACGATGCGTGGTGTCATGTCATGTGGTTTTGTGGCTGTATGACTGGGGCGCTGTTGGTAGGAAAGAAGAGGTGGCTCTTTGCATTCAATGGGAGCGAAGACCAACGAAACTGGAGAAAGTGCGAGGAAGCCCGCAAGATCACACACACACACGCACACACACACACACACACACACACGCACACACACACACACACACACACACACACACACACACACACACACACGCACACACGCACGCACACACAAGCACATCGCAGCACCTTGGAGAAAGAGTCTGGAGCCGGCTGCTCCTGCAGATTGAGCAGTGGACCTTGCATCTGCGCCAGTGGTGCAACGGGTGAGGACGACGCTGACGGCGACGATGGCTGCGGTGCAACAGCACTCGCCTCCCGAAGAGCAAGGTCGCCATCACCGCTTCCGTTATCGTCATCGTCGTCGTCGTCGTCGTCGCTGGCAGTCTGACCACTTGCGCTCGCCAGCCGCCGCCCACGCAACGGGTGCCCACTAGCACCTAGTCTCGCTGGGTTGGCCCTTGCAGCTGTCGCAGCTGTTGTGGCACCTGTCCCGAAACGAATCTCACGGGCACCCGCTCGCACCACCACGTGCTGCTGCTGCTGCTCTCCCTCTTCCTCTTCCTCTTCCTCTTCCTCATCGTCATCATCATCATCATCGTCATCATCGTCATCATCGTCTCCAGCTGCATCGAACATGGCTTCAAGAACCTGTAGCAGGGAAAGGCAGTGTTGTGTGTGTGTGTGTGTGTGTGTGTGTGTGTGTGTGTGTGTGTGTGTGTGTGTGTGTGTGTGTGTGTGCGCGCGCTTGGCGCGTGTACTCACAAACAAATTGTTTGGGGCTGTTTGGGGCATTGCGCTCGTCTCACCTGAAAAGCCTCCCCAAACGAATCACTCCTTCCTCCTTCTTGCTCTCTCCTCACACCACCCCCTCCCTCTCCCCCACCCATCCGCACCTGTGACATGCGTTCCTCTGCGCGCTGTAACCGCTGCTGAGCATCGTCGTCCCCACGCTCAACAGCCGCCTCCGCTGCAGTCAGCTGAGGATGATGATGGTGGTGGTGGTGATGGTGGTGGTGGTGGTGAATGTGATTGTTGTTGTCGATGTACTTGAGCTGTGCCAATTCATGTATCGGCAGCCAAGCACCATGTACACACACACACACACATACTCTCTCTCTCTCTCTCTCAAGCACACACCTCGGCCTCTGCCTGGCGGTGCTGCTCGTCGAGTGATGGGTGGAGGGGGCGACCGTCGGCATGTGTTTCGTTGCCCTTTTCGCAGTGGAGTTTGATGGGTTGAAGCGAGAAGGAAGAGGCAGGCACAGAGAGGGGTGTGCGATGATTTGTGGTGAGCACGTCGTTGTTGGGCGACCGCACACACACACACACACACACACACACACACACATACACACACATACACAAACACACACACACACACAAACACAAACACACACATACACAAGCACAAACACACACACAAACACACACACACACACACCTTGTAGCAGATTCTGCCGTTGGGATGGATGGTGGCGATGTCACCACGCGTGTACATGCGGTCCGCAAGATGCGGAGGAAACAAGCGGAACCTGCAGACCGCACGTGACGCACGCGACACGACGCATGGTGCGCGCGGGAGCGTGCATGTGGAAATGTGTGTGTGTGTGTGTGTGTGTGTGTGTGTGTGTGTGTGTGTGTGTGTGTGTGTGTGTGTGTGTGTTGGAGTGGAGTACAATCTGGGGCAGGAGGCACAGGCAGGTTCAGTACATCGTACTCTTTGACGCCGCACAGGACGATGTAGAGATTGTCGTGAAAGTCGTGATGTAAGCCGCTGCTTGAACCTTGGGCACTGATGACACGAGGAAGGAGGCACGCATGTGGGGCGTATCGTTGAACAAACTACAGATTGACAGCATGTGTGTGTGTTATTTGGTTGTGGGCGTGTGTGTGTAGATGTGTCTATGTGTGTAGATGTGTGTGTGTGTGAAGATCGAGCAAAGGAATGTAGAGGAGTGAGACATACCTTGAACCAATCCACAGGTTGTAGGAGGAAGGAATGAGGGTGGGCAAAAGATCCGGTTGCAAAGGAAAGTCGGACGAGAGGCGCTTGAGCAGCTGGGGCATGAGTCCAGGGTTCCCATCCTCCAGCATCTCCGGTTCCTGTGTTGTCATGTACCTGTGCCAGACGCACAGCAACGACACAACAAGTTTCAACAACAACAACAACAACAACAACAACATGGATTTCGTGAGAAAGAAAGTTCAGCACGCAGTGCCGAGTCCAGCACGCAGTGCCGAGGTCAATACGCAGTGTGGCGGACGCATGCTGGACAAGATGTTGTTAATGCAGTCGCTGTGCGATGGTTGCAGTTATGAACAAAGAGTGGCTGCACCGTCTTACAGTTGCTCGTCGCCTTGCTGGAGTCGTGCCACAAAGTCTGAGAACTGAGCCTTGACGGTGCGGCCCCGCCCAAAGCGCTTGTTGGTGTCCTCACGATGCTCCACCTGCGTATAGGCGGTGTTGTGTGAATGCTCCCAATGGTCACCATCACGACACTGCGACACGGGTGCGCATGCATCTATCACAAACACCTCACAGGACGTGCGTTGGATCGTCAATGGCGCCAAGACTACAGTGCCATGAATACACACACACACACACACACACACACAAGATCACACAAGAGTGTAAGCACATATGCAAACGCACCGAGACGATGGCGTCACCGCAGCGGCGCACAAGGTATTCCAGATCAGTCCAGCGCGTGAGCTGAGCGTCTGCCAGCGTCGCCTTGATCTTGCATGGCTTCCTCGTGAACACATACTCCCTGCAACAACAATCAAAAAAGAGCGCAAAGGTATCAGCTGAGGTGTGTGTGTGTGTGTGTGTGTACCCTCTTCCAAAGACACCCCCAACACTGAGACACACACACACACACACACACACACATACTACACACACGCGCACACACACACACACCTGAACAGGGTGAGCGCGTTCGGTGCGCGCAGTTCGTCCACTGTCATCGTCTCCTGTCTGTTTGGGCACAGCGATGGTTATGAATGATGTCCATAACTTTCTCTCCCAAGGACTGCTTGTGCTGCTCCCAATCAGCATCGTGCGCCACGCCAATACTTCCCCTCTTCGCCTGTGCGTGTGTTGTTGCGTTAGAGATGGAGATGGCCGATTTGAATGAGCGCCTGATGGGCGAGGATGAGGACTTTCCTCAGGAGCCATCCTCGGAGTACCTGACTGTTGGCGAGGATGAGAAGCGACCAAGCAAGATCGAGGTATGTGTGTGTGTGTGTGTGCATTGTGTGTGTGTGTGTGTGTGCATTGTGTGTGCATTGTGTGTTGTGTGTGTGTGTGTGTGTGTGTGTGTGTGTGTGTGTGTGTGTGTGTTGTGTGTGTGTGTGTGTGTGTTGGCAGCTGTTGTTGTGGTTTGCCCTTGTTGTGTTGGTGCCAGGATCGTGTCGTGCGCAGTGGTCTGTATGTTCGATACACCCATGCACACAAAACATAGTGAGGCAATGACTTCCAGTGCTCGCCGAGCACATGTCATTTTGACCCCGCACCAGAGAGGGCGCGCTCAAACTCATGCACGATCTTCATTCATCAATGTGATCGCAGTGGCTTGTGGGCTGGAAGGAGCTGCGCACCTGGAACCTTGTCCAGGGGTGCCTTGCTGAATTCATCGCCACCCTGCTCTTCATCTATGTTGGGTGCGTCTGCGACGTCAAGTGTGCATGCATTTGCCTATGTGTGTGTGTACACGCGCGCGCGCGTTTGTGTGTGTGTGTGTGTGTGTGTTGAAGTTGAAACAGAACAGGAGGGCATTTGCATTCTGTTTGCGTATCTTTGAATGCATTGCAGCCCGCCCCTGATCTCACACAATGCAATTCAATGCAATGCAACATCTCGCACTTGCTTCGTGCTTCTGTGCAACAGTGCCGGTGCCGTTGTGGCTCAAAGCCAGTTTGTCGTGAACACGACGCCCGACTTCTCCGTGATCCCCGGCGTGAACGAGACAGCGGGATACGCACCGCCGGCCGCACCGGATGCGCTCACCGTCATTGCCCTCGCTCACGGCTTCACCATCGCCGTGCTCGTCTCCGCCATCGCCCACCTCTCCGGCGGCCACGTGAACCCGGCCGTGTCCTTCTCCATGATCATCACGGGCAATGTGTCCATCATCCGCGGCGTCCTGTACATGGTGCTGCAGACGCTTGGCTCCGTGCTTGGTGCTGCGCTCCTTGCTGCGTGCCTGCCAAAGTCTCTGCACCAGGACCTTGGCGCCCACGACCTCCACCCGAACATCTCCGCCTTCCAGGGCTTCTTCATCGAGGTTGGCTGTCCTGTCATGCCCTGTGAATGCTGTTGTTGTTGGTGTACCCACACATCCCATGGGGAGAGAGAGAGAGTGTGTGTGTGTGTGTGTGTATGTGTGTGTGTGTGTGTCTGTGTGTTTGTCTTTGTGTGTGTGTGTCTATGTGTGTGTGTGTGTGCGTGTGCGTGTGTGTGTGTCTTTGTGTCTGTGTGTCTGTGCGTGCGTGTGTGTGTCTGTGTGTTTGCGAGCGATCTTGCGCTCCCCAGACAGCCGTCATCTCGCATTGCTCATCCCTGGCCAATGTGCACTCTGCCCATACGAATCCCCCACCCCACCCTCCATTTCAGTTTATCCTGACGTTTGTGCTGCTGTTCACCATCTTCGGCAATGCTGTCGACAAGCGCGGCAGCTCCGTGCTCGCCCCCTTCTACATTGGCCTTGCCGTTGTCATTGATCACTTTGTTGGTGCGTTGCGCGGCACCAATGCTGATTGATTGGTGTTCTCTTCTTTCGGCCCTTCTGTACGACTTGACTCCACATCACCAAGCATCATGCAAAACTTGATTACCTCACCATGCACACGCGCGCACGCGCACATTCACACACGCATAACCACCACTTGCCGCTGTGTTCAGGCATTCCGCTGACTGGCGCGTCGATGAACCCTGCTCGCAGCTTTGGCCCCGCCTTTATCACCCGCAGTACGTTTGCGTGTTGAGGGAGATGTGTTGTCGCTGTTGATATGGTTTTATCTGTTGTTGAAATCGAAGGAAAGTCATCTTTGATGAAGCACAATGGCACACACAAACACACACACACACGCACACACTCACACTCACTCACTCACACACATACACACACACACACACACACACACACACACACACACACACACACACACACACACACACACACACACGGCACCACCCATTTTAGCGTACAACCGGCACTACATCATCTACTGGTTTGGGCCTCTGTCCGGAGGCGCTGCTGCGGCGCTGTTGTATCGCCTTGTGTTCCTTCGTGGACAGAGCAAGGTTGTTACCATCGAGACGGTCTCCGACCAGATTAAGGAGCTCTCCCACAAGCAAGACTGAGTGAAGCTGACGCTGCCGCTACGGCTACCCCTGGCGTGTCTTCTCACAAACCACACACTCTCCCTTCCATTCGTTGCTTCCCAACCGTAAACACGCCCACCCCTCCCTCCTTTCTTTCCTTGCCCCTCTCTTCGTTCACCTGCTCTTGCTTGCTTGCTTGCTTGCTTGCTTGCTTGCTTGCTTGTGGTGTGCCTCTGAGTGAGTGCCCATGTGCCTCCTGCTTGTACACCTCGAACTGTTTGTTATCTGCCTGCCATCCCATTGAACACTGAATTCAGTTGAATTGTCGTTCCACAACAGAACAATGCGGCAGTGCTCCAGCGGTGGATGCGCGATGGCGAGGTGTGGCGGTGATGGTGGCAGGCGAGGTCATCGCAGAAGAGGACAGCTGGAACAGCACGACCACGGTTGGAGCAGAGGGCTTAAATACAGGCACGGTGCCTTTGGGACAGCAACGACCGTGCTGACGATATTAGTGATGGGATTGTTGCTTCTTTCGAGTGGTGGCCCTTGTGTTGCGGTGCCGTTGTTGAGGTCGGGCCAACCAGCTAGGACGTCTGCTGCTGCGGCAACGTTCTCGTGCCCTTCCAGCGCCATCCCTGCGAGCCTTCGCAAACCAGGCAGCCCAGAGACGTACTGCCTTTGCGCACGTGGAGATGCCACATATTGCACGGTAAAGCCATGTTGGTTCTGTGTGTGTGTGTGTGTGTGTGTGTGTGTGTGTCTGTGTGCGGGTATGTGTGTGTGTGTGTGTGCGGGTATGTGTGTGTGTGTGTGTGTGTCTGTGTGTCTGTGTCTGTGTGTGTGTGTGTGTGTGTGTCTGCACTGTAAGAGGCGAGCTTGGATTGGTTTGGGCGTTGCAGCTTCTACCCAACTGACATCTCCCGCTTCCCAACCCGGCTTTGTGGATCACAGGGTCCCATGTGTCGCCTTGGGCGGCTCGGCGACAGCTCGGGAGATTTTGCGCTGGGTTTCTCCAGCAAATGCACCGCATGCACCTGCCGGTCTGCTACGGGTGCACAACGTACGTTCAGCCTGCCACCTTCCGAATCACCTGCTTGTACTTCGCTTGCTTCCTTGCTTGCATGCAAGCAAAGGGTTCGCCAAGAAGAAGCCATTTTGGAGTCCCCCAGACTGACATCACTTTGTTCCTCCTTCCTCCCGCCTTCCCATTCTTTGACTTGCTGCCCTGTCTCATGTGTTAGGTACCGTCGTTCCCATAACGACGTGGGATGACACTCAAGTCTACTATCACCTTCACATCAGGTATGAAGCAGATATCATGCTTGCTTGCAGGCACCTGGGTTTGAGCAGATACCAGTCATACTCTGGCAAGAGCACCCAAATGGTCTCTGCCACGTCGTCCAGCTTCACATCGTACCCAAGCGTCCGTGGCCCCTCATGAGCCATCCCGTTCTTCATACACACACACACACACACGCACACATTGCAGCAAAACTGGGGGCACAACGTTGGAGCACATTGTGCAGCAGTTGGTGCGGCATCCAGCCTCACCTGCAGCCATGACGGTGTGCAAAACGGAGAAGCATCCGTTTTCTCACCCGCCGTTGTTTGCAGACCCAAAGGAATTGGAGCGTAGCGGCTGCAACGGTGTCTGTGTGTGTGTGTGTGTGTGT